CGGGGCCGGGGCCAGCCCCAGCGCGGCCCGGGGCTCACCGGGCTCTGCAGGATCATTGTCACCCGCTTCTTCTGCTCCATGAGGTTGAAGTCCTGGCGCAGGTCCCCGGCCCCGCTCCGCGCCCGCAGCAGCTCGGGCTCCTCCGGGGGGGCGCAGCGCGGCCCGGGGGGCTCGGGCAGGGGCTCGGGGCTGGCGGCCGTGCTCATCCTGGCGGCGCGGGGCACCGGGGCACCGGGGACACGCGGCGTCAGCGCCGCCGCCCCCGGGTACAGATTGGGGAGAAAGCACCGAAAACACGGAGCGGCTGCGGCCGGCAGATAAGGGCGGCGGGGACACGCCCTGCCCGGGGCGAGGGGACAGCGCGGGGACACCGCGGAGGGGACGCTGCCCGGGCTGGGCGACAGCCCGACACAGCCGAGAGCGGGCACAGGGCAGGGATGGAGCTGGGAACGGGCACAGGGCACCCATGGGCGCTGAGAACGGGCACAGGGCACCCCTGGGAGTTGGGAACGGGCACAGGGCACCCATGGGAGCTGAGAACGGGCACAGGGCAGGGATGGAGCTGGGAACGGGCACAGGGCACCCATGGGAGCTGGGAACGGGCACAGGGCACCCATGGGAGCTGGGAACGGGCACAGGGCACCCATGGGAGCTGGGAACGGGCACAAGGCACCCATGGGAGCTGAGAACGGGCACAGGGCACTCATGGGAGCTGGGAACGGGCACAAGGCACCCATGGGAGCTGGGAACGGGCACAAGGCACCCATGGGCGCTGGGAACCGGCACAGGGCACCCATGGGCGCTGAGAACGGGCACAGCTCTGGGCACCCATGGGCGCTCCCCTACGACCCCAGGCCCGAACTGGGGTCACCCACTATGGGGGGGCTCGGCGCCACTCTGCCGCCACACGCGGGGGCGCTTCCCGGCCCACGGACCCCAAAAGGGCCCCAGAGACCCCCAAAAGAACCCTCCCCGTTCCCCCAGGTCACCGCCCCCGGGCGCTCTGGGGATGCTGCTGCCAAGGGCCCCCCAAAACCCAGGGCGGGGCTGCTCCCCCAAACCCGGGGGTGCCCCCCATTCCCCCCGGCTCGGGGCAGAAGGGAACCCCCAGATTTCGGTGCTCGGAGCGCACCTGTCTCGCCCAGGCCGGGATAAATCCCGGCTGACCCCGGGGCGCGGGGCCCGAGCAGCCCCCGGAGGAGGCCGGGGGGGCTCTGGGGGGCTGGGCCGGGACCCCCGCCCCGGTTCCCCCTCCCAGCATCCCCCCCCCGCCT